ATTTACAGGAAATTTTGATATTTTACTTATCTTTAAATTGTGCACCAGACGTTTAATCACACTTTTTTAATCTTTTACTTTATTAAGCGTAAGTTCAAGTTAACTAAGGACAACAAACACTTTGTTTCCTATACTAGTTACCGAGATCAGTTCAATACTCTCAATAAGTCCTGTTATAAGGGTTACATTGCTAATTTTGAAAGAAGCATTAAAAGAAATTCAAAATGTTTCTGGAACTACATTAAGTCCATAAATGGTGTCTCTAATGTTTCCACCTCTGTTTTTGTAGGAATGCTGCGGCAGCCTCATTAAATGGACAAGCTGACATTTTTATGGATTTCTTTGTATCAGGTTTGTATTTGAGGTTGATGAGCTAATCTCGGATAGTGATACTAACAATATGGAGTGGCTTCCTTCGATGTAGGCTTTCTGATTCTCACAGACGAAGGTATTCTTGATGGTATTAAGAATCTTAAATATTTTTGTTATACAGATAACGATGGCTTGTCTGCTATTTTGTTAAAGAATTGCGTTTCCTTAGCAGAACCCTTGAAACTTATCTTCAATAAATCGCTATCGTCAGGAATTTTTATTGAGGAATGGAAGCATACTTCCATCACGCCGATATTTAAAAGTGGTAATAGGTGTGATGTCAGTAACTATCGTCCTATATAAATTAACTACAGTTCCTAAGCTCTTTGAAGTTATAATAAAAAATAGGCTGTTTTATACTTTACCGCGCGTAATTTTCTCCAATCAATGGTTTCGCCCCGGGTAGATCCGCTGTAACTAATTTCGCCGTTTTTACGGACGACTGTATTAAAAGTTTCCTAGCAGGGTATCAAATCGATACAATATACACGGACTTTTCCAAGGCATTCGATAGAATTTCGTACACGATTTTAATTAATGGGTTTCAGTCGTAAATCCTTCAATGGAACACAGAACTGGTTCTGTTGTTCTGGATGGCGCTTCTTCGAAGACCTTTTCGCTCACCTCTGGAGTCATTATTTTGCAATTGGTCGAGATAATAATAAAATTTTACGGCATACCAAAAAACTTCATATTCAGGCATGTGCTGGAAATCACGCGATTTCATCTCGAAACCGAAATTGCAAATCGAACGAATTAGTTTGACGTGTGCTGAAATTCACACGATTTGTGAAAATTCGAACTTAATTCGAACACAGCTGATTGAAAGATAAGTTGAGCACGGCAAAATCCAAAATAAATAAAAAATGAGTGTTGTGTCTGTTTCAGCGTATTTATGGAGCCTTAATAATTGGCAAAACAATGCGAAGGTTAGACGAAGAGTGCTCAGAGACCATTCCAACCCTTTAGACGTCCCCGAATCAATGTAAGTGTATAAAATAGTATACGTACATACATATGTATATGCAGATCAAACTATGGGTACGGTTTAGTTATTTGTACTATGATTTTGGGTTGTTGTGTCCAAACGCGTGACCAGAATCTAAAAGCTTTAGCATACACGTCTTGTCAAAGGATTATAATTTCCGCCTCTATTCTCCGGCAACACAGAAAGGATATAAGGGTAAGTAAGGGTTATAATCCCTAACCTACGCAGAAGGAAGTTCTGATGAGGGTTACTTTTCCTAAGGGGAATGACTTTTCCTAAAGTTTGCAATGCGCTCTTTCTAATGGGTGGTTTTTAGGTGCCACACCACCGCCCCTCCACTAAAAATAACAAAATCATTGTACAAATAACTAAATATTTCCTCAAACTATTTTTTTCATTGCAGTTTCATTTCCTATTACCGGATTAATAAAGTTGCTTTTGAAAACATCCTAAACGATGTTAAGCCTTTCATTAAACAGTCGTCCCTCCCTGCTGAAATTAAACTGGCCGCCACAATGAGATTCCTTGCTGAAGGAGGTTATCAGCGATCTATAGGGAAAGACTTGCATATCGCACTTCATAGATCCACCATTTCGAAGGGTCTTAAAGAAATGTTAAACATTTTAGAAAGAATACAGTGCCCAAAGTGGATTAAGCTAAGAATGAGCTTTGATGAAATCCGTCAGTCAAAATTGTACTTCAGCGATAATTTTAACATTCCTGGAGTAATAGGCTGTATCGACGGGACACATGTGAAATTGCTTAAACCCAACGATAATGATCATCTTTATTATAATAGAAAGGGTTGCTTTAGTGTTAACGCAATGATAGTAAGTAAACCAACACATTTTAAGAAAGAATAATTAAGGTATTCACACCTCGCTGCTCATTCGGTTACCGGTTTGAAAATTATTTAGACAGGGCAACTTGTCAGTTTTGCAATATTTCGATGAGGTAGAGAAAAAGCTAACTCTCCTCACAAATAAAACCATTATTACTCACGAGGGATTTATTGCACCCAGTATAGGGCAGATGCATTGAGAGTCTTCATTTCAGGACTTAGAAGACCTCTTTGCGATATACTTTTTGCATCCCGACCGGAAGATCTACCAGGTGCTTTCGCCCTGGCCCAGGAAGTCGAAGCAAATAGGGAACGATACGTGTTCGCAGCAAATTTCGCAGCTTCTAGTGACGACTCTCCAAACAGATTTAAAAAAATAAGAAATGGTAACTTAGATCAGAAAACACAGGCTACGCAAAAGAACCCCCACTTCTCAAATAAGGCTTCAAAGAAAAACGAAAATGAACAAAATCAGTCAACACCCATGGAAGTTGACCCATCAGAAACACGACTACGTCAGAATACAAACTGGCGTCGTTCTGAAAAGACAGGTATTAACCAACAGCAACAACCTTGGAAACGGCAGGCGGAGTCAGGAAGAAACACAGGACCTAAGATGCAGCGAATTAACAATTTAGGTCAAGAAAATCCAAGTGAGAAAAATTATACCCAAGAAGCCGAAGCCGAGATCGAGGACCTCGAAGAAGAAGAACAATTGAATTTTTTAGGGGATCGAACGAGGGGTAGGCCAGAAAGGTAGAAAAATCAAACTATTGGTAGATACGGGAGCTTCCAAGAACTACATAAGACCAATAACAGAATTCAAAAATATTATCCCAGCTTCCACACCATTTACCGTAAAGTGCTTACATGGCAATAGTCCTGTTAGACAAAAGTATAGAATCAAAATTTTCGGCGTTACTGCGGACTTTTTTGTGCTACCAAACATAGCACCATTCGATGGCATAATCGGGCTAGATTTGCTATGAGCAACCCACTAACCTACGGGGGCTCCGCTCTTTTCTAGAACTGGCAAGTTACTATAGGTGTTTCATTAAGGATTTTGCCAGTATAGCAAAATCTTTAACGGATATGTTAAAGGGCGAAAATGGAAAAGCAAGTGCAACCCAATCGAAAAAAATTAAAATTCAGTTAACAACGGAAGGTATAAAAGCATTCGAGAAACTCAAAGAAGTCCTTGCGTTAGAGGACGTCACACTGGCATACCCCGATTTTACCAAGCCATTTGATTTGACAACCGACGCTTCTTCAAAGGGCTTAGGGGCGGTGCTCTCCCAGGATAAGAAACCTATTACTATGATTTCTAGAACACTCAGAGATAGGGAAGAACATTATGCAACGAATGAAAGGGAGCTCCTGGCAATCGTTTGGGCTCTTAACACATTGAGAAACTACCTGTATGGGGTAACCAACTTGAACATTTTTACCGACCACCAGCCTTTGACGTTTGCAGTTTCAGATAAAAACCCAAATGCGAAGATAAAGCGCTGGAAGGCGCTCATTGAAAGTTTTAACGCCAAAATCCTCTATAAACCAGGAAAAGAAAACCACGTTGCAGACGCTTTGTCAAGACAACATATGAACACGATGGAGGTTGAAGAGGATGCCAGCTCAGACTGTGCCACAATACACAGTGAGGAGTCACTGACATACACCATCGAAACGGTGGATAAGCCTGTCAATTGCTTTCGAAACCAGATAATACTCGAGGAAAGCGAAGGCATGTCAAAACAAACGTATATTATGTTTGGTACTAAAACAAGACACATTATCTCATTTAACGACGTGGAATCACTCATAAAAACAATGCAGGAAACCATTAACGATAGTGTGGTCAATGCCATACACAGCTCTCTACCGATTTTGGCCAAGATTCAGCACCGCCTTGTAGAGCTTCATCCGAACGTAAAATTCAGACACACGGAGAAAATGGTCACCGACATATTTGATGAAAACGACCAAAGGGAAATTATCGTCGCTGAACACAATCGTGCGCACACAGCTGCACAGGAAAATGTGAAACAGATCCTGTCTGACTACTTTTTCCCAAAGATGGACAAAAAAGCAAGGGAAGTGGCAGCAAATTGTAAGACATGTTCGAAGGCAAAATATGATCGACATCCGAAAAAGCATGTAATTGCGCCAACACCAATACCTTCCCATGTGGGGGAGATATTACACGTTGACATTTTTTTCTATCGATCAAAAATACTTTTTAACGTGTATCGACAAATTCTCAAAGTTTGCGGTAGTACAAAAAATTGCCTCCAGAACTATAATAGATGTGAAACCTCCCATCTTACAACTTTTAAATATCTTCCCAAATGTTAAAACCATGTACTGCGATAATGAAAAGTCTCTTAATTCGCAAACCATAAAATTATTACTGCTAGGTTTCAATAATGTAGAAATAGCAAATGCACCACCACTTCATAGTACTTCAAACGGGCAAGTGGAACGCTTTCATAGCACCCTTTCAGAGATAGCTAGGTGTCTGAAACTTGAAAGAAGTATAAATGATACAGATGACTTAATTTTACTAGCGACTATAGAATATAACAGATCCATTCACACAATAACGAACAAAAAACCAATTGAGATTCTATATGCCGGATCAATGGAAAATTCAGAATCAATTCGAAACCGCATAGAAAAAGCACAAATTGCTGATCGAGAATACCATAACAAAAATCGTCAGTGTAAAACATACAACGCCGGTGACAGGGTCCTTGTAAAGGTTAATAAAAGACTTGGAAATAAGCTTTCAGGAGGGTCCACAAGGACAATCTTCGACCACCTTGACAAAACCTACCTACAAATTAATTCCCACCTTTTACTTACAGGTTGATAGCACTGACGCTTTTCTCGACAACCAACTCGATGGACAAACTTATGGACTACACTGACGCCAACTACATCCCAATCCTGGACGGGGACATGATACTATGGGAACATTACGGATATCTGACTCACTTTACTAATATATCACTGTACGAAACCATGAATAATGAAGAAAGAAATCTAATCGACTTATTTCCTCAGTCACATATGAGAAAGCTACTAGACGCGGACATAGCACACATCGAAACACTATTACGAACCGTCGACATTCACCATCGACAAGCACGAAGCCTGAACTTTTTAGGTACGGCACTGAAGGTAATCGCTGGTACCCCCGACTTCGACGACCACCAAAGGCTACAAATGAGACAGGATATTCTCGTTGATTCGAATAACAAACAATTCAAAATAAACACCCACATTCAGCAAAAAATATTAGAAATCAGAGAAAAAATAAATAAAATCATTGCAACTACAAGGAAGGAAGAAATAGATACGGGTCACTTATATGACAATAAAATGGCAAGAAATAGAATAATAACCTTTGAGTTACAAGCTGTCACAATATCATTAACATTCGCCAAACTTAATTTGGTAATTTGAGCACTCGACCAATGTAACAACAATAGAAATATTAGGTATATCTAGAATTAAGGTTTTACAAAATAAAAACAATTTGTATTTTGTTATAAAATATCCTATACCCGAATTAGTTTGTAAGAAAGTTAGCTTGTTCGCCGTGTCGCACCAAGGACGAATACTGCACTTCGGAGAAACCAATACTGTCGCTCAATGCAAAAATAAAACACTAGCTGTTAGTTGCGAAAAATCGTCATCTGCTACCTTTTGCAAAACGCTCAATACCACCACCTGCGGGCAACAACTAGTCATGGGAGAGGTGGCAAACTGTTCAACTGTCGCTAACCATGATAAAGGTATCAAGGAAATCGATGATGGTATTGTGGTCATTAACAATGCTACAGCAAAAAGGGTGAAAATGGGAACGTTAGAACGGTCAACGGCACCTTTTTGTTGACCTTTGACCAAACAGTAATAGTAAATGGCATCGAATACCGCAATAGAAATAACGCTGCTACCAGGTCACCCGGAACTCCAACAGCGCAAAAAATTAATCTTTTGGGGCACATAGAAACGTTAAGCTTTAACTACCTTCAAGAAATGAATGTGGAAAATATCAACCACATCGGTGCCCTGCGAAGAGAGGCTAACTCAAAATCGAATGCTTTCATTATAATAGCAATATCAGTTATAGCCCTCATAGTATTTTGGCTTGCCTTTAGTAAATACAAAAAGCAATCTCAGAAACGTGCAATGAATGTTTTGGTAAGGGAGATCACCGAGAGGATCGCGGACGATCCACACTTAGGAAGGGAGGAGTTAACCCAACACCCTAGCACATAGTCAGCATTGCCGGCTTAACAAGTGCACCGAATATGCTAATAATAATAAACAAAGTAACGATCAACGGCTACAAACAGACAACACTCAGCATACTCGCAAAGCATAAGCAGACAATTATAGCAAATAATAAGACAATAATAAATATTGTAAAAGACGCCGATGCGACACACATGCAACGATGAGCGGCTACAAACATACAGCACATAGCTATAGCCGTGTGATCCGCTGATCCAACATATTTACAACCAAATGAAAAAGGAATGCAACAACAACACAAAGCGACAGCAGTTAGGGCAGCATTTTATATAAGACGTATTGAAGTGTTTAGAGTTTAGTTTTTAGTATGAATTCAATAAATAACGATTAAAATGAATTACTTATACAATTCATATCTTAAATTTATCTATAGTAATCGATTATAAGTGCACAAGAACTGATACCAATTTTTCCGCCAACGACGACCTCCACCCTACTACAACTTGCAAAGGACATTGCCGTGTATTCATAGTCCAGCAACTAAGTCGAAACTAACAAAGTTGCAACTTAAATGTAAGTACCAACTTAAAATTTACCTCTATTCATAGTCGCATTTCAGACTTCTACTAAGTAGTGTGGCGAATACTGCGGCAACACAAAGCGAACAACGAGAAATAGGCAGAATGTTCGAGGAATGACGTAGAATGTTCCACAAAGAGAAACGTCAAGTTGGATGAACACTGCGAACAGCGAGAGAAAGAGAATGAGCGATAAACTTCAGAACGTTCTAGAGTTGCCATAAGTGTGAGCGCAGGTATATAAGAGCCACGACACAGCGGAGTTGGGACAGTTACAATTCAGCAAGCTACAAGTAATGTGAGCGGAGAATCGAGTTGCGAATAAGCAAGCTATAAGTTTAATTGTGTTAACAAGTAGTAAAGCGTTGTTATTGCTTTAACAAGTATTGTAAAGTGTTTTTACTGTATTAGCAAGTATTGTAAATTGTTTGTTGTACAATAAAGTTAATTGTACTACAATTCGGTTATCGTTAGCATTTATTTAACAATCCAGCGATACGAGCCCGAGTATATTTGGGTAATCCCTCAAGGTTTCGAGGATAATCGTAACAATTGGTGTCAGAAGTGGGATTGTTAAATAAATCCCGAAGGATAAACTACTGAAAATGGCGAAAATTCAGGACTTAAAGATTGAGGAACTGAAACAGGAGTTGGAAAAGCGTAATTTGGCCACCTCCGGAAGAAAAGTGGAATTATTATCCCGTTTGCGGGAGGCTATGGAAGCTGAAGGCATCGACGTGGACAAATACGACTTCCAGGGTAAATCCGACGATGCATCCGCAAAGGACGAACAGAAGGATGAGGCTGCTTGTTCGTCGAAGGATGTGCAGCAGACATCAGCGAAGCTTGAAGAGCAGGGAAAGGCTCCTTGTGCGTCAACGGCTATAGACATGAACATGTTGTTGGGTGCCATATCACAGATTTCATCCCAGCTGCAAGTGCAGGAAACACGCATGTCCTCGCAGCTGGAAGCACAGAAAACGTACATGTCATCGCAGCTAGATGAAAAGATTACTCAGCTACAAGAGAATTTATTTAAAGATAACGCGGAACTCAGAGAGAGACAGGATAAAATCGAGGAACGACAAGATAAAATCGAAGAGCTAATTCAGGAGAAAGTCGAGGCTAAGGTAGAAGAGTTGGAAGGTCGCCTCCGAGATATGCAGTTGAATCGCCCACCTTCTTCGACCAGCGCGCCCAAGGTAAAGACTCCATCCTTTGACGGCACGATTCCTTTCCAAGTCTTTAAGCTCCAGTTTGAGAAGACAGCTACAGCAAATCACTGGAGCATGGAGGATAAATCCGCTGCACTGTTCGTTGCATTAAAAGGACCTGCAGCGGAAATCTTGCAGACTATTCCTGATTGTGAAAGGAACAGTTACGATGCGTTAATGGGTGCAGTGGAAAGACGTTATGGTAGCGAACACAGGAGACAGATTTACCAGATGGAGCTGGAAAATCGCTGCCAGAAATCCAACGAGACTCTACAGGAATTCGCCTCCGAGGTTGAAAGGTTGGCTCATTTGGCAATTGGAGATGCATCTGGTGAGCACCTCGAAAGAGTAAAAATCCAGAGGTTCATCAACGGAATGCGGGACGTGTATACCAAGCGCGAGACGTATGCAAATCCAAAGGCAACATTTGCTGAAACGGTCTCGTATGCTCAGACACGTGAAACGGCAGCGCTCCTAAGTAGACCAGCCTACAAAGCCCATCGAGTAGAAGTGGAAACACCTGACGTGATGAACGAGATCCTGAAAACACTCAAGTCGATGGCAGGGAAGAATACTCCTGGTGCAACCGAGAGGAAGGATGGTGCTAGAAAATGTTTTAGTTGCGGAAAACCGGGCCACTTCGCACGCGAATGTAAGACGGGTTCCAACAGTTCAGCAGTACGTAAGCGCAGGACTGAGGATGACGAGCCCGACTCCGATCAGTCGTTAAACTGAAACGTGCCAGCAGGAAGGGCCGCGTGCTGGCTCCAGAAGTTGAAGGGCCCATAATCTCCGTCTCACAAATTGGCCGGAATGCGAGCAACCTCACTATTGGTGGATGTGTGAATGGGCAGGAGCGAGTGCTGACAGTGGATACTGGAGCGTCACATTCCATTATTCGACCTGATGTGACTACTTTTTATGTGAAGCCACTACCTGGAGCAAAGCTGCAGACTGCAACTGGTGAGCGAACCCAAGTGTTAGGAGAAGTACTATGCGAGGTAATAATCGACGGGTTGGCCTCGTACACGAAGTTTATTGTCGCAGACATTGTGGATGAAGTCATCATCGGCGTGGATTTCCTACTTGGGCAAGGCATGAAGATTGACCTCCAGGGAATGATCCTAACCTATGGCGACAGGAAAGTGCCACTTAGGGTTGGTTACGACAGCCAGTACTGCAGTAGACGGTTAGTCTTAGAGGAAGTGTCGACAATTCCACAAGAAACGGAAGCGGTTAGTTGGGCGGAGGTTGGCAGTGATGGAGACGGAGTGGTTTCATCAGGAGAAGGAAGCGGTTCACTGATACAGGAAAAGCGTGACGGTTCCGCTAGCTCAGTGAAGAAGAGGTCGCAACAAGGAAGTGGTCATGGCAAGCCAGGCAGTGTTTCCGGCAGGAGGAAAGCCACTGAACCACGTTGCAATGGTGATACGCCGGTGGCCGGAAATGGAAGCGGCTGTGGAAACAGTAGCCGCGCTTTGAAGTGTCCCGGAAAAGGTGGCCGGCAAAAGCACGACCATGTGAGATGGTGCACCACCGGAGATAAGCTGGAAGCAATGTCCAGTAACGCATCGAGCCGAGAAGAGCTACAGGAAGGTGATTCGGTGGTGTTGCACATGCCGCAGCTGAAGAAAGGCTTCACCTCCGAACAACAGCGTAACTGGAAAGATCCGTTGAAGATTGACAAACGGCTGAAGGACGCAGTGCATCAAATCCAGACAATGGGGAGACCGAGGACCAAGATGAAAGTGGTCCACTTGGAAAGACTTGCAGCGGTTGGAGCGGCAAGTATGTCTGATCGGGACGATCAGACTTAGGTGGAGGGCAGTGTGGCGAATACTGCGGCAACACAAAGCGAACAACGAGAAATAGG